TGGCAGTTTTCTTTCCCAGGAGAGAGGAGGTTTCTGAAGACATGATAGTTCCACTTGGGCCTGTTGACCTTGAGGTGCCTTCCACCTTGAGGCATGACACGGAAATGCCTGTGGGACACACAGCAGGAAAGCTCAGGAGAGGAGTGTAGGGTAGAGATGTGGATTTGGAGTCATTGGGCAATTTTCAGTGGAAAGTATGAGCTGGAAGCCACTTGGGGGAAGATAGAGGCAAAAGCAGAGGGTCTAGGGAGGACTGGTGCTTAGGCAGAGGGCCAGGAGTCTGAGGAGGAAGTGAGCTAAGCTCAGAGTCCTGACTGACTGACCCCTCTCTCCTCTCCCAGGCAGCTGACTCTGCTGGTGGCCAGTGAGGACTCCAGTTACATGCCGGCCAGGGTGGTGGTGTATGGGGGTGACAGCACCAGCTGCATCAGCACTGAGCTCAACATGGTGGGGACCCCCGTGATCCCCCCGCACCTTACTCCCCATCCTTCTGTTTGTCCCAGGGCCTGATCAGAAGGGCCCACCCCTGGGGAATTCCATATCCCTTCCTCCTCGTGAGCAGTGAGTGGAATTAAGGATGTGGATCCGAGTGGGTCCGTGGGTTCCGTGCAGGAGCAGTGATGGGCACACACCATCACAAACTTGGTTGCTGTCAGCAGTCCTTCCAGCCCCGCCTTGGAGGTGACAGCCCTCCCTCTTCTCCCCTGCCCGCCAGGTGAATGTGGTGCCCTCCGCCAGCCGGGTGGTCCTCCTGGAGAACTTGAACCGCTTCTGGCCCATCATCCAGATCCGCATAAAGCGCTGCCAGCAGGTAGGGCAGGGGCAGAGGCGGGGGTCTGGGGATTGAGAGGTAGCACGGGGTTTCCATAGTGACTGGGTTACTGCGTTTGGGGGCCAGGCTCGGACCAAGACTTCTCCTCAGTCTGCCTGGGGATGGCCCGGGACCCTGCTGAGTCCCAGAGATGCAGGACTGTCTCGAGTCGCTCCAGGGAACTCAGGGGTGAGGCCAGGCTTTGGTAGTGCTTGGTGACTTAGGTGACAGATAAGTGTATGCATGTTACAGGGTGGCATCGACACCCGGGTTCGGGGTGTGGAGGTCCTGGGCCCCAAGCCCACTTTCTGGCCACTGTTCCGGGAACAGCTGTGTCGCCGTACATGTCTCTTCTACACAATCCGGGCGCAAGCCTGGAGCCGGGACATAGCAGAGGACCGCAGGCGCCTCCTCCAGCTCTGCCCCAGGTGGGTGAGGCCGGAGGAGGTGGGTAAGGGAGCAGGACACTGAAGGGGAGATGCTGTGGAGTCTGAAAGGTAAAGCAGTGGCCAGGACACAAGGGAAGTGAACACAGGTGAGAAGTATGTGCCAGGGAAGAGCTGGGGGCGGACTGAGCACGGGGTGATTAGGAGTTGGCTGCACTCGAGTGGAGCCACAAGGAGATGTGTGCCTTTAATCCTGGACCACACACTGTTTATCCCCAGACTGAACAAGGTTTTGCGCCATGAACAGAATTTTGCTGATCGCTTCCTCCCTGATGATGAGGCCGCCCGAGCGCTGGGCAAGACTTGCTGGGAGGCCCTGGTCAGCCCCCTGGTGCAGAACATCACCTCCCCCGGTAACCATCCCGACCCCGGCCCACTAACCAGCTCCTTGTCCCCATTCCCAGGCACTGCCTGGGTTAATGCTCTTGGTTCTTTTGGTTCCTGTCTTTATCCCCAAAGGCCTGTCACCTCAGTGTTCCTTTCCTTCCTCCACAGACTGCTCCCTGAGACTCTGGTATTTGAATCTTCCCTCCACCCCACCCCCAATCTGTTACCATATCCCCAGACTCCAGCTGAAGCAAACCGTGGTGGGAGGGGGGCGAGGGCTGTGCTGGCCCCCAAACCTTTTTGTACCATTGCTCCTTCTCCCGGGCGTCTGTTGCCCCATTTCCCGTGGGGACCTGTTCCTGACCCATCTTCTTTTAGACGCGGAAGGTGTGAGCTCCCTGGGATGGCTGCTGGGTCAGTACTTGGAGCAGAGGGAGAGCTCTCGGAACCCCCTGAGTCGAGCAGCATCCTTTGCCTCTCGAGTTCGTCGCCTTTGCCACTTGCTGGTGCATGTGGAGCCTCCTCCGGGGCCTTCTCCTGAGCCATCCACTCAGCCCCGTAAGTCCCCGCCGGGGCGGCCGAGCTGAGAGCCTGGGTCCTCCCCTCGGTGTTACTCTTCCTTACTGCTTTGCTGTGGGCATTTCCAGGGGTCAGTACCCAAGACCCCGAGACTCACCGGAGGCTGAGATGAAACTCCTTACTTTGCCCGGTGTCTCTACAGCCAGCAGGAACAGTAAGGGTCAGGATCGGAGCCCTGGGCCTTCACCTGTTCTCCCGAGCAGCAGCCTGAGGAACATGACACAGTGCTGGCTGAGCGTGGTGCAGGAGCAGGTGGGCAGAAGCAAGCTGAACTCTGCGGAGGGAGGCCTGCGAGGCTGGCCGCATACTGGGACTTCCCTTTTACATTTCTTGCTCTTTCTCCTCAGGTCAGCAGGTTCCTGGCTGCAGCCTGGAGGACCCCAGACTTCGTGCCTCGTTACTGTGCACTCTATGAGCACTTGCAGAGAGCAGGCTCAGAGCTCTTTGGGCCTCGGGCAGCCTTCACGCTGGCCCTGCACAGCGGCTTCTCAGGCGCCTTGCTGCAGCAGTCCTTCCTCACGGCTACTCACGTGAGTACCACCAGCCTCGCAGTCGGCGGGGCGTAAGCTCATGCAAGGCTCACCCCTCTCTGCCCTCTCATCTCCTTTCACTCCCCACTCTCCTCCACTCCCTCTTACTGGTTCACCAGTGCCCTTTCCATTGCCCCAGATGAGTGAGCAGTTTGCCAGACACATCGACCAGCAGATCCAGGGCTGCCTGGTTGGCGGAACCCCTGGAGCAGACATGCTGGGGCAGCTTCAGCGGCACCTGGAGCCCATCATGGTCCTTTCTGGCCTGGAGCTGGCCACCACTTTTGAGCACTTTTACCAGTGAGTGAAGGTCGATAGAGTAGGGGATGGGAGGCCTAGAGTGTAGAGAGGACAGAGATTGAGTCTTAGAGGGAAGATGAAGGGGGGCAGTCGGGGCAAGAGATTAAGATCCAGGGATGGCCATGGCATTGGTGGGAAGGAAGAGGTGAGGTAGGGCTGTGACCCAGGTTGGCTGCCACAGAGGGACCTACGTGCCGAGTGCCCACACTGAGGCCGGGCCTGGGCTGTGTGTGCTGCAGGCACTACATGGCGGACCGTCTCCTGAGCCTGGGCTCCAGCTGGCTGGAGGGGGCCGTGCTGGAGCAGATCGGTTCCTGCTTCCCCCACCGCCTCCCCCAGCAGATGCTGCAGAGCCTGAGTGCCTCCGAGCGGCTGCAGTGCCAGTTCCACCTCTTCCAGCTCCAGCAGCTTGACAGGCTGCTCTTGGAGCAGGAGGATGAGGAAGAGCAGGGCCTGGAAGAAGAGGAGGTAAGAGCAAGGGAGGAGAGCGGGAGAACAGGAGAGGAAAGAAGGGAGGCCAAGAGCCCTTGAAATTCTTCTCTCTCTCAGGAGGAAGAGGAAGAAGAGGAGTCTGGGAAAGAAGTATTTCTCAAGGACCCAGGTCCAACAGTTTCTATACTGGTCCTGTCACCACGCTGCTGGCCCGTCTCCCCACTCTGCTACCTGTACCATCCCAGAAAGTGCCTTCCCACAGAATTCTGTGATGCCCTTGACCGCTTCTCCAATTTCTACAGCCAGAGTGAGGAGATGGGACAGGCAATTGGATATTGGGGTGAGGTTTGGGGTGGCAAGAGAGGAAGAGGAGGTGACCTTTGGACAAGAATGCATAGGTAGGAAGAAACATTCTCTAGCAACAGCAGTCTCCTAGGGAAGGGTGAAGAAGTGTGGGTTCGATTTTCATTAATTTCTCATTTCCTTCAACTCTATATGAATTGGTTCTATTTTCCTTTTTCTAACTTCAAGTTGCATGCTAGTCTTTTCAGACTTCTTTTTAAATATAAGTATTTAAGGCTATTAATCGCCCTCTCAATATTACTTTAGCTGCATTCTGTAAGATCTATACTTTTTTGTTGTTGTTAATCCTCACCCCAGGATATTTTTTCCGTTGATTTTTAGAGAGAGAGAGTATAAGGGAAGGGGAAAGAGAGAGAGAGAGAAATATCAATGTGAGAGAGACACATCGATTGGTTGCCTCCCACATATGTCCTGACCAGGGCTGGGGACCAAGTCTGCAACCAAGGTATGTCTCTTGACTGGAATCCAACCCTCAACCATTCAGTCCGGGGGCCAGTGCTCTAACCACAAAGCCAAACCAGCTAGGGTGGATTTGTTTATTTTATATGAACTATTTTTTATTAAGGTATAATTAGTAGTCAGTAAAGCGCACACATCTTAATTGTGACTTAATGAATTTTGTATCCATATGCATTTCCTTAACCACCCCCAGCTCAAGATGCAGAATACTCCCAGCACCCAGAAAGCTCCCTCCTTCATCTCCTTCATGTCTCCTTTCTAGTCAGTATCTTCTTCCAAGGGAAACTGTTGTTCTTCCCTTTGTCACCATAGATTTTTGCCTGTATATGAACATCATATAATTGGAGTCAGAGAATATATATTCTGCTGTATCTAATTTCCTTCTCTCAACTTAATGTCTGTGGGAGTGATCCAGGTTGTCAGTTGTGTCATTACTGTGTTCTTTTGTATTGCTGAGTCATAGTCCATTGTAGGAATATATTTACCCTTTCTGCTGCTGATGGACATTTGGGACGTTGAATCAAGTTCTTATTATGTAATATTTTCATTGTTTAGTTCAGAGAATTTTCTAATTTTTATTTTTTCTTTAACTTATTAGTTTTCTAGAGGTAGATTTTAAGATTTCCAAGCAGATTTTTCTTTGTTTTGTTTGCTTAGTGTTTTTTGTTTTTTGTTTTTGTTTTTTTTTTTGGTGTACTGGACGATGCTCCAACCAACTGAGCCACCTGGCCGGGGCTGTTTAGTATTCTTTTTGTTTTAGATTTCAACCTTCATTCCATTGTGGCCAAAGAACATGGTTTCTGTGATACTGAATCTTTGCCATTTATGGAGACTTCCTTTGTGGCTAAGTAGATGGTCAAATTTTATAAGTTTCCCATGTGTGATTAAGAACAATGTGTGTTTTTCTGTTGCTGGATACAAGATTATACATATTTCACTAAATTGACCTTGTTCATTGTATTGTTCACACTTTCTATAACCTTATTTTTATCTGCTTGATCTATTACTGAGAGAGGTGTGCTCTAATCTACCATTATGATAGTGAATTTCTAAATTAAGTATGTAAATTTCCCTTTATATATTTTGACTGATATTATATACAACTTTAAAATTATTTAACAGTGCTGCTAATAGAACTTTCTGCAAGGATAGAAACGTTCTGCACTGTTCAGTATGATAGACATTTGTGGCTATTGAGTACTTGTCACCCAGTCACTAGTCGGCTGGGTGACTGAATATTTAATTTTATTTACTTTAACCAGTTTAAATTTAAGTAGCCTCATGTGGCTACTGGCTATCACAATGGGCTATGCAGGTATAGAATCTTCATGGTTAATTAGATCTTGTCATTATGGAGTGACCTTCTAGTAAAGCTCTTAAAGTCCATTTTTACCTGGTATTAATAGTATACCAGCTTTCCTTGGTTACTGTCTTTCTAGTACATCTTTTTTTATCCTTCTACTTTTTGTTTGGATGGATAATTCTTTTAGATCTTTTTTATTTATTTATTTTTTAAATATATTTTTATTGATGTCAGAGAGAAAGAAAGAGGGAGAGAGAGATAGCAACATCAATGATGGGAGAAAATCATTGATTGGCTGCCTCCTGCACGCCCCATACAGCCCTGAAATTGAAAAGATAAGGACTCTCTTTTTAAAGGCAAGGATACTACATTATCAAACCTTTAGAAATTAACAATTCCTAATATCAAATATACATTTAGTGTTCATGTTTATGTAATTGTCAAAGTGTTTAAAATTAGGTGTTTTTGTTTATTGAGGGTCTAAACCAAGCCCACGTATTGCACTTGATTTAGTTCTATTTTTCATCTCCCTCAATCTATGGGTTCCTGTCTCCCTTTTTTTTTTCTACCCCTTTTGCGATTGTTTGTGGGGGAAACGGGGTTGTTTTCCGAGTTGTTGACAGGCTGGATTTTGCCGATTGTATCCACGAGGTGTCCTCTAGCATGCTCCTCTGTCTCCTTTATTTCCTGAAAACTGATCGTTAGCTATAGAAGCTCATTCCGCTTTGAGTTGGATTTCTTGGGCAGGAACACTCCATGGGTGGTGTTGCGTCCTTCTCCAGGAGGCGTGTTACGTCTGGCTGTCTTTCTGTGCTGAGGTGGATCAGTGGGTGTCAGTGTTGTTAGTCTGATGTACACATTGCATATGGTTCCCATCAGCTTTCCACTAGACAGTCGTTCGTTAGCATTGCGTAGGTTGACCATCTCACTGGGGGTTACGGACTGGTGACATTCTAGTTCTCTCATTCCTTCCTCGTGTATTTGCCGGAATGCTTTCTCTGTACAGAGAAACTTTTCTCATCAGCGTTCTAGTTACCTTCAAGTACCGTTGATACAGGAGAGGCTTGACTCTCTCCTCCTCCCCTTTATTTTGAACCAGTTTTCAAAATAATGTGTTGGTTCTCTGGCATCCTCTAAAGATGCCCAATGAAGTCTCCTAAAAAAACACCATCATTGTGAATTCATGGATTTAAAAAAATTTCATGTGTTTCAATCCATCGCGGGTGTCATTCTTTTGTCGTCCAAACTGTCCCATCGTAGCCAGAGTGACCTCTCAGGTGGCTCCGTTTGAAACTCTCTGCCTTTGACAGCGTCCTTGCTCTCCAGTCTGAGCGCACTTGCCAGGCTCGCCTTGCCCGAGCTGGACACAGGGCAAGGAAGAGACCCAGCCTAGAGGATCTGTCCCCTCCTTAAGGGCAAAGCCCAGGTCTCTGGTGTTTCTTCCATGGAGCCTGTCTCATGCAGGGTTGGGTACGGGGGGGCGGGGGAGGGGGCTCCCAGATGCCTGACTTGCCAGGGAGGCTGCGCTCCGGAGGCTGTAATGCTGGGGCCTGAGAGACTAGCAAGAGCAAACCTAACTAACAGTGACCCTCGCCTCAGCGCCTAACCCCCTTTTCCCTGTTCTGTGTCTCCACCCTTCTCCTCGACATGCTCCCAGGCCAGAACCATCCAGTCCGGGGACCACATCGGCGGCTGCAGTGGACGTGGCTGGGCCGGGCTGAGCTGCAGTTTGGGGACCAGACCCTGCATGTGTCCACTGTGCAGATGTGGCTGCTGTTGAATTTCAACCAGACAGAGGTGCCTCAGCTCCTCCGCCTCTCTGTCTTCTTTCCCCCCTTGTCTGCCACTGTTCTAAACTCTGTTCCTCCTCCCATCCTTTCTCCCCACTTCTGACTGCCCCTGTTTCTCCTCACCAGGAGGTGTCAGTAGAAACCTTGCTGAAGAATTCTGACCTCACCCCACAGCTACTGCTCCAGGCACTCCTGCCCCTCACCTCTGAGAATGGCCCTTTGACCCTGCATGAGGGTCAGGACTTTCCACAGGGGGGTAGGTCAGTGGGGCTGGCCTGAGACTCTGCTCATAGGGTGTGGGGCCCCCAGGGCAGGGTAGTGTGGTAGGGAAGGAGAACGGGTCCCCTTTCTGCCCCTCCCCCTCCCCGGGCACTAACTGGCAGTGAGTTCCAGGTGTGCTGCGAGTGCGTGAGCCTGCGCTCCGGCCCTGTGGGGAGGCCCTGTGGCTGATACCTCCCCAGAAGTACCTGGATGTAAAGAAGGATGAGGGTCGAACCCTGGAACAGAAGAGGAACCTCTTGAGCTGTCTTCTTGTCCGTATCCTCAAAGCCCACGGGGAGGAGGGCCTCCACATTGATCAGCTGGTTTGTCTGGTAGGCAGACAGGGGGCCCTGAAGTTAGGGGAGGGGGGAGGAAGCTGTGCTTGGGGTTGGAGGTTAGAGCCAGAGGTCACCCCAAGGCAGGGTAAACTGTCAGTGTGAGCCCTCCCAGGGTGACATTTCTGTCTGGGTTTTCTATCCCTGACGGGGCCGGTAGACTGCAAGTAGAGACAGGACATGCGCAGAGTGAGATAGGCAGTCCATGGAGCCTGTCTCATGCAGGGTTGGGTACGGGGGGGCGGGGGAGGGGGCTCCCAGATGCCTGACTTGCCAGGGAGGCTGCGCTCCGGAGGCTGTAATGCTGGGGCCTGAGAGACTAGCAAGAGCAAACCTAACTAACAGTGACCCTCGCCTCAGCGCCTAACCCCCTTTTCCCTGTTCTGTGTCTCCACCCTTCTCCTCGACATGCTCCCAGGCCAGAACCATCCAGTCCGGGGACCACATCGGCGGCTGCAGTGGACGTGGCTGGGCCGGGCTGAGCTGCAGTTTGGGGACCAGACCCTGCATGTGTCCACTGTGCAGATGTGGCTGCTGTTGAATTTCAACCAGACAGAGGTGCCTCAGCTCCTCCGCCTCTCTGTCTTCTTTCCCCCCTTGTCTGCCACTGTTCTAAACTCTGTTCCTCCTCCCATCCTTTCTCCCCACTTCTGACTGCCCCTGTTTCTCCTCACCAGGAGGTGTCAGTAGAAACCTTGCTGAAGAATTCTGACCTCACCCCACAGCTACTGCTCCAGGCACTCCTGCCCCTCACCTCTGAGAATGGCCCTTTGACCCTGCATGAGGGTCAGGACTTTCCACAGGGGGGTAGGTCAGTGGGGCTGGCCTGAGACTCTGCTCATAGGGTGTGGGGCCCCCAGGGCAGGGTAGTGTGGTAGGGAAGGAGAACGGGTCCCCTTTCTGCCCCTCCCCCTCCCCGGGCACTAACTGGCAGTGAGTTCCAGGTGTGCTGCGAGTGCGTGAGCCTGCGCTCCGGCCCTGTGGGGAGGCCCTGTGGCTGATACCTCCCCAGAAGTACCTGGATGTAAAGAAGGATGAGGGTCGAACCCTGGAACAGAAGAGGAACCTCTTGAGCTGTCTTCTTGTCCGTATCCTCAAAGCCCACGGGGAGGAGGGCCTCCACATTGATCAGCTGGTTTGTCTGGTAGGCAGACAGGGGGCCCTGAAGTTAGGGGAGGGGGGAGGAAGCTGTGCTTGGGGTTGGAGGTTAGAGCCAGAGGTCACCCCAAGGCAGGGTAAACTGTCAGTGTGAGCCCTCCCAGGGTGACATTTCTGTCTGGGTTTTCTATCCCTGACGGGGCCGGTAGACTGCAAGTAGAGACAGGACATGCGCAGAGTGAGATAGGCAGTATTATTATTATTATTATTATTATTATTATTATCGTCCTTTTCATTTGACAGGTAAGAAAAATGAGGCATGAGGGGGTTAGTAATTTATCCGTTGTCACACAGCTGGGCATCGAGCCTAGACAGGCTGCTCCTCTAGGTAACATGGCCTGCCTGTTTCCTCCTCCCATCCAGGTGCTGGAGGCCTGGCAGAAGGGCCCAAACCCTCCCGGGAGCCTGGGCCGCACTGTTGCCGGGGGCGTGGCCTGTACCAGCACAGATGTCTTCTCTTGCATCCTGCACCTCCTGGGCCAGGGCTACGTGAAACAGCGTGATGACTGGCCCCAGATGCTGCTGTACGCCAGCCCAGAGCCCACGGGGCCCTGCCGGGGCCAGGCAGAGATCCCCTTCTGTGGCAGCCGAACCACCGGGGCCTCCAAGCCCAGGTAGCCACCCCCAGCCCCGCCCCCTGCGGGGGCTGCAAGCAGTAGAGAGAGACGGGCTCCCCATGACAGATGGTACCTCAATAACTTGGGAGGGGCCAGGTTCCCTGGTGGAAACACACGTCATTTCTTTGTCTAACCCAGTGATGGCGAACCTTTTGAGCTCGGCATGTCAGCATTTTGAAAAACCCTAACTTAACTCTGGTGCCGTGTCACATAGAGAAATTTTTTGATATTTGCAACCATAGTAAAACAAAGACTTATATTTTTGGTATTTATTTTATATATTTAAGTGCCATTTAACAAAGAAAAATCAACCAAAAAAATGAGTTCGCGTGTCACTTCTGACACGCGTGTCATAGGTTCGCCATCGCTGGTCTAACCCCTTTTCCCTCTCCCCGTATTTTCCCCCATTCGATCGTCCTCATTCCTCCTCCCAGTGCCTTCACCCCTTCTTTTCCTTTCTAATCTGTCCCCCTCCTCCTAGAGTCAGCCCTTAGCAAGGGACCCACCCATGTGAACTCCTTTATATATGTCTCATCTAAGCAAATATGAAATATGCAATATGTATTGAGTGCTATGTACTCTGCTCAGTGAAATATACAAACCACAATGGGAAGCCTGTTCTGGAGGAATTTGCCATAGCTGTCCCTTAAGTGGCTAAAACTTCTGCATCAGATCCAATTCACCAGAAGTTTTTAGGGCACCTCTTCGATGCCTGTTATTTGCATTGGGTATAGAGTGAGTTCTCTAGACTAGAATATTTCTCCACCTTTCACATGCGCATACATCACCTGGGATCTTGTTAAAATGCAGATCCTGCTTCGGTAGAGCTGCCTCTGATACCCGTGCTGCTGGTCCACAGACCACACTCTTTCTCAGCAGACATGCTGGTAGCATTTGGGTGGGACCTCCAGTGGGACTGTCCCATCTACTGTAGGTCAGTTAGCATCCTGACCCCCACCCACTCGATTCCTGTGGTGCCGCAGTCATTTTGACATCCAGCCCAACCCCCACACCTACAAATGCTTCTGTGGAGGAGCCTGCTGTGACAGTTGGTTTGGGGGTTATTCTCTGGCTGGTTAAGCAAGTGTGACAGGGGTGTGCAAGCAGGGAGCTGGGGGACAAGGTGGGGTTCAGTCAGTAGCTTGTATAAGCAGGACCGGGAGACTGACCACTGACTCTTCTCTGCCCCCCAAGCCCAGAAGCTGTGGCCGCCCTGGCATCCCTTCAGCTGCCTGCAGGCCGCACCATGAGCCCCCAGGAGGTGGAAGGGCTGATGGAGCAGACGGTGCGGCAGGTGCAGGAGACGCTGAACCTGGAGCCAGATGTAGCTCAGCACCTTTTGGCTCATGCCCACTGGAGTGCCGAGCAGCTGCTGCAGAGCTACAGTGATAACCCCCAGCCACTGCTGCTGGCAGCTGGGCTGCGGGTGCCCCAGCCCCAGGCTGCCCCTACACGCCCCGACCACTGCCCTGTCTGTGTCAGCCCCCTGGAGCCGGATGACGACTTGCCCTCTCTCTGCTGCAGGCACTACTGCTGCAAGGTGAGGCCCCAGCTCTCTCCTGCCCCTGGCTTTCTACTCGAATGCGGTTCCTTGGCAACTACTGGTTCTAGCCCTAGCGCCGCCATTGCCTACCCCAGGAATGTGGGACAGGTCTCTTAGTCCCTTAAACTAGTTTTGTTAGGATCCAGCGATATTGGTATGCATCAGTGGTTCTCAAACTGGCTGCGTATTATAATCTCTGGGAGCTTTTTTTTTTTAATCCTCACCCAAGGATATTTTTCCATTGATTCTTAGTGTGGAAGAGAGAGGGAAAGACAGAGAAACATCGATGTGAGAAACACTGATTGGTTGCCTCCTGCACGCACCCTGACTAGGACCTAGGGCCCAGGCAGGAGGAGCTTGCAACCCAGGTACGTGCCCTTGACCGGAGTCGAACCCGGGACCCTTCGGTCCACAGGCTGACACTCTACCCACTGAGCCAAACCAGCCAGGGCACTCACGAGCTTTTAAAGATCCTGATGCTCATGCGATCTACCAGGCCACGTAAATCGGAATTTCTGCTGGTGAAACCCCAGCATATGGACGTTAAAACCTCCTCAGGTGATTCCAGTATCAGCCAAGTTTGAGGACTAGACACAGACACAGGCACACACACACACATACGTCTCACACACCCATCTTAACACACACACACGTCTCACACACACATCTTAACACACACATACGTCTCACACACACATCTTAACACATACATACGTCTCACACACACATCTTAACACACATACGTCTCACACACACATCTTAACACACGTCTCACACACACATCTTAACACACACGTCTCGCCCACACATCTTAACACACAGATACGTCTCGCACACACATCTTAACACACATACGTCTCACACACACATCTTAACATACGTCTCGCACACACATCTTAACACACACATACGTCTCACACACACATCTCACATACAGTGCACCTTAAGGCACTTTGTAAAGGAGGTGTTATTAAATTGGTGGTGACAATAGTTTATGGTTTCCTTTCCAGCATTCAAATCTTTATCTTAGAACATCTTCACTTCTTTTATATGGGTGGGCAAAAGTAGGTCTGTAGTTGTTCATATGGAAAATAATACACTAATTAATAAATAATGATACAGGAATAAACTGTTTTGTGTACTCACAACTACAAACCTGCTTTTGCTTCACTCTGGTATATACTCTTATTTATTATGAAAATAAAAAGAAGTATTACAAACCAGGACATAGCACAAAAGTATGGGAAGGCAGGGTTTGCTGCTGCAAAGCTCACGCAGACAAGGCCATAGGTGGGGGAGCGAGTACGGAGTCTTCAGAGGCAGGGAACCGAGTGCTGAGGGCCTGATGTCCCCTCCCTCACAGACATCAGCTCAACAGGATGAGCGCCGTTGTTGCCATGAATGGTCGCTGCCTCTCCCAGCAGCGTCCCAGGGTGTGTGGTCTGGGACAGGTGCAGTGCACGCTTGTACCTTTTCTCCTTCCCTTTTGCTCGGTTTCCAGTTCCTCTTCTCACATAGGTGCCTGTGCTCGCTTTTCTCTAGGTCCTTACGGACTTCCTTGACCGCCCATTTTTTCCTTCAACTAATACTTGTCCTGGGTTTACTGTGTGCACAGCACTAGGTGCTGAATGAGGGAGTGGGACAATCCAAGCAAGAAGTAACTAGAGGCTGGAAATAGCAGCTAATAGTTACGGGGACTCGCTCTAGGCCGTTAGGCTGCCTCACACACATTCTTTGCTTGGTTGCATCCTAGTTCTCTGTGAGGCAAGGACTTATCATCCCCATTTGGCAGACTTCAGAGGGAGGCACTGGGTGGAGAAGGAACCTGCCCAGGGCCGGATTGGGTTTGGGCAGTCTCGTCCAGGGCCCACACTCTTCGGATAAGTGCAGGGAAGAGACTGCAGTGGGTCATGTTGTTGGAAGTGACTGGGGTAGGAGTGGGCTGGGGGCCTCGTAAGGGACTTCAGACTGGGGAGGTTGGGGAAGGCCCGTCTGAGGAGGAGATCTGGGGGGAAGAGTGGCGGACGGAGGGAAGAGCCAGTGAACGGAGGGAAGAGCCAGTGAACGGAGGGAAGAGCCAGTGAACGGAGGGAAGAGCCAGTGAACGGAGGGAAGAGCCAGTGAACGGAGGGAAGAGCCAGTGAACGGAGGGAAGAGCCAGTGAACGGAGGGAAGAGCCAGTGAACGGAGGGAAGAGCCAGTGAACGGAGGGAAGAGCCAGTGAACGGAGGGAAGAGCCAGTGAACGGAGAGAAGAGCCAGTGAACGGAGGGAAGAGCCAGTGAACGGAGAGAAGAGCCAGTGAACGGAGGGAAGAGCCAGTGAACGGAGAGAAGAGCCAGTGAACGGAGGGAAGAGCCAGTGAACGGAGAGAAGAGCCAGTGAACGGAGGGAAGAGCCAGTGAAGGGGCCGGGGGGGGGGGAGGCTTGGCAGGTGCAAGGGGCCAGTTGGTGGGATTGGCACACAGTGGGCTTTGCTCCAGGGGAAGCCATGGTGGGTGTAAGCAGGGGAGTGATCTGCTCTAATGCACATTTTTGAAAGGGTCACTTTGTGTGGAGAAAAGCTTGGTCAGGACAAGAGAGGAAGCAGGGACACCCCTTCGGAGACTGGTCCAAACAGGCCAGAGAAGGTGGTCGTGCGGCCTAGGGACAGGGGAATAGCGGAGTGGATGGGCGGGCTGCATTTGGAGGTAGAGCAGGTAGGACTTGGGGAGTGGATTCGGGGGCTTGGGACAAAATGGAGGGTGATTCCTGGGTTTTTGAGTATCTGGGTGGATGGGATGTGTCATCTTTTACTGGCTTGGGGGAAATGTTGGGCCTGGGAACAGGATTTTGAAGGGCAATGCAGTCTTTTGTGTCCATGAAGTTGGAGCTGCTTGTTGGGACCTGTGTGGGACTGGCAAGTAGACAGTGGGTTTTCAAATTCAGAACTCAGTAGAGAGGCCTGGCTGGTATCACCCAGGGAGTGAGAAACAGGCCCAGGACATTGAACTTGGGGCACCCCCACCCTATAGCGATATGGAGACAGGGAGCCTAAAAACACCACTGAGAAAAACAGGCTGATGGACAAGGCCCAGCAGAGGAGGAGCCTGTGACTAAGTCCCGGCCAAATGGCACAAATGAAAGGCAGGAGAACTCAGGGTGGGGGATCCGGGGCCTGGAGCAGTTGGAGGTGGCTTCCCAGGATGAGCCTTGAGTGGCAGGGGGGTTGTCAGAGGGCCTGAGACCCAATACCAGTTGGGCTGGGCAGTGGAAACAGCATGAGCCAACAGCAAGCCCAGAGCTGAGGGGGTACCTAAGGGTGAGCGGTCAGCCAAGTTGTCCTCTGTGGTAGTGAGGGGTCCTGCCACCTCTATGTGCCTGCAAGTAGCTGTCTGAATTTGGAGAAATGTCCTGTTTTATCTTGGAAATACGGGAATTTTGCATTCAACTTCTCAGTTTATCTGGGTTTCTTTCACTATATAAAAAGGGGTTTGCCCTGGTTGGTGTATCTCAGTGGTTAGAGCATTGGCCCATGCACCGATGGGTCTCGGGTTCGATTTCCAGTCAAGGGCATGTGGCTGGGTTGCAGGTTCAATCCCTGGGCCTGGTCAGGGCATGTGCAGGAGGCAACCAATCGATGTGTCTGTCTCACATTGATGTTTCTCTCTCCCTTCCACTCTCTAAAAATCCATAAAAATATATACTTGTTTTGTTTAGTAAAAGTCCAGGCCCGTGCTTCCCATCAGTCCTGGAGCTTTGCTACCACAGATACATGTCCTCCCCTGGGGTCAAGTGCGTCGTTTGGAAAGCTCCGCGTCTGCAGTGTGAGGGAGGGGGCTCTTATCGGAGTGTTCTGGGAGCTCGGGCTGCCAGTCACGCATAAACCAAGTGGGTTTGATGGGGAGAGACAGGGTGGAAGGTTTGGGGATCAGCTCCGGCAGCAGTTTAGGAGTCAACAGTGGCCTGGTTTAGGGTGAGGCGGTGACATGGGCGCAAGACAAGGGTTCAGGAGATTGAAGGTTCTGACCCTGGAACTGGAGGGGAGCGGGGTACCGTTTCTCAGGACTCGGGAGCTGCAGTGGGCAAGTCTGTTTTGTGCAGAAGAGGCCGAGTCTGGGGGGACAGAGCCTCCAGACAGGCATTGAGGTGAGCAGTGGGGCCAGGGGGAGAGGCCACCCCGTGGGGAAGGGCACCCACCTCCCGGCCTCCTTCCTCTCTGACCTTCTTGCTCTCGCCAATTCTTTCTTGGAACTTGAATCTTTCTTATTTTTTTAATTCTCTTTACCTGCTCCCTCTATGTCCATCCCAACAATAATTATAATTAGGCTGCTGTCCTGGCCCACGTATCCTCAAAGACAACTGTAATTTGGACCAATTCCAGGAAAAGCAGTGGGAGCCAGAAAGATTAGGGTCAGTTGTGAGGCTGACCTAGAAGCTGCTTGTCTCTGGCCTGCATCATGGGGGAGAGGTGCGCGATGAGTGGCCAGGGCACCGCCTCCTGGTGCTGCTCCCGCACTTCCCTGAGCGGCCCCTCCTGTGCCCTCCCAGTCTTGCTGGAATGAGTATCTGACAACTCGAATCGAGCAGAACCTGGTGATGAATTGCACCTGCCCCATTGCCGACTGCCCGGCCCAGCCCACGGGAGCCTTCATTCGTGCCATTGTCTCCTCGCCAGAGGTCATCTCCAAGGTACCCGCTCCTCCGAGAGAGGCTCCGGTGCACAGCCAGAGGGGCAGACCCCATGGAGTGGGCTGACTGCGGGGTGCGGGGGGGCCTGGAGGTGTGGCGACCTAGCGAGCCAGGCCCTCGCCTGTGGCCCCTCTGTCCCCACAGTACGAGAAGGCCCTGCTGCGTGGCTACGTGGACAGCTGCTCCAACCTGACGTGGTGCACCAACCCCCAGGGCTGTGACCGCATCCTGTGCCGCCAGGGCCTGGGCTCAGGGACCACCTGCTCCAAGTGTGGCTGGGCCTCCTGCTTCAACTGTAGCTTCCCTGAGGTGGGTGCCCACCCCAGCCCTGATGCTGAGCCGGGACCCACACCCGTCCCTGCTCAGCACACAGATTCTGCCTTGTCCTCATCCTCCGCCACCGAGTGGAGCTTTGTTCCTCCTCCTGTCATCCTCCAAATGGAGCCTCCCTCCCTTCCGCCTCCCTCGAACAATAGCAGGAGGGCCGCCCTGAGCGAGGGCTGGGCTGTGTCCTCACCTCCCCGTCCTGCTCTAGGCACACTACCCTGCCAGCTGTGGCCACATGTCTCAGTGGGTCGACGATGGCGGCTACTACGACGGCATGAGTGTGGAGGCCCAGAGCAAGCACCTGGCCAAGCTCATCTCTAAGCGCTGTCCCAGCTGTCAGACCCCCATCGAGAAGAATGAGGGGTGTCTGCAGTAAGAACGGGTGCTGTGGGCCCTGGGGAGTCGGCAGGCACAGGAGAGAGTAGAGGCCTGGTGGTAAGAAAGGAGTGGTGGGGATTCTGAAAAGCTGAGCAACAAGGGCAGTTACTCAACTACCCTCTCTGGACACCCTCCAGAGCGACGCCCTCAGCTCATGTTCCCCCGTGTTTAGTCTAGTGTGTGGGGACTCAGAAGCCAGGGTGCTTTCAGCAGGAACTGGTCAGGTTAGGGCATGGAGGGGCCAGGGACACCGTCCGTGTGCATCTAGGCCCCTGGCTTTCCTGGTGCGGCCCTGGCCAGAGGCAGGAGTCCTCTGACCAGATAGCTTCCTCCGTAGCATGACCTGCGCCAAATGCAACCACGGATTCTGCTGGCGCTGCCTCAAGTCCTGGAAGCCAAATCACAAAGACTATTACAACTGCTCTGCCATGGTAAGGGGCTGGGCAGCGAGGAGCGAGAGGCCCGAAGGCAGGCAGGAGGGGCCCTGAGCAGAGGGCTGTGTGGAGAGCAGCCTAACAATTGTTGGGACAGTGGCTCAGTGGGGAGAAGACAAGCCACCTAGGCCTGCAGTGCTGGGAGGTCTGTCCTGGGAGGTCCATGCACGGGGACCAGAGGCCCAGGGTGGGACTTCCACCCCCAGGTGGCTACAGAGGGCTGGGGTGGGCTGGGCATTCTCGGGGCAGCAGGGCAGAGCAGAGAGCACGGACTGAGTCAGGACCTGGCTCTTCCAGTTAGTATGTGGCTTTGGGTCAGTTTACTTGTCCACTCGTCAGCATTCTCACCTGTAAAAGGGGGTAATAATGTGACCTACCTCACAGAGTCTGAGGATTACAGAGAGAATCTGGGCAAAGCGTGGAAAGGCCTCTGTGAATGGTAGTCTGACGAGCCCGCGCTGTCCCAGCGAAGCACAGTAGCCCCCTATGTGTCTCACAGGTAAGCAAGGCAGCTCGCCAAGAGAAGCGGTTCCAGGACTACAACGAGAGGTGTACTTTCCATCACCAGGCCCGGGTGAGGAGGGGGAGGGTGGGGGAGAGGCCGGGAGGGGCCCAAGGTCCGAATCGATGGGTGCTGTTCTGAAGGGATGTGTGTGCATGCGCCCGCTGACCGCCTTCCTCTGCACAGGAGTTTGCTGTGAACCTGTGGAACCGAGTATCTGCCATCCATGAGGTGCCCCCGCCCAAATCCTTCACCTTCCTCAGCGACGCCTGCCGGGGACTTGAGCAGGCTCGAAAGGTTGGGGGGTGGGGGGTGGGGGAATGTGCCAAGGGGACTGGTGGGCTGGGCAGCTGTCTCTGACCGGTTTGGATGGAGGGAAGGGGGAGGGAGCAGGTGGGAGGCCTGACTTGGGCTCCCCTAGGTGCTGGCCTATGCCTGCGTGTACAGCTTCTACAACCAGGAAACGGAGCAAATGGACGTGGTGGAGCAGCAGACCGAGAACCTGGAGCTACACACCAATGCCCTGCAGATCCTCCTGGGTGAGGCCTGCCCCCTGCCTGCTCAGTCCTCTCTCCTGCCCCCCTCCCCCCTGAGCGCCCCTGCTCCAGCTCCCCACCTTCACTCTGTCCCTTCCTCGTTCCTCATGGCCTTATCACCACAGGCCTTTTAAAATTCTGCTGGAAAGGCATATAGTTCAGGCTGTAAGTGCCTAAGGCAGGGGTCCTCAAACTTTTTAAACAGGGGGCCAGTTCACTGTCCCTCAGACCATTGGAGGGCCGGACTATAGTTTAAAAAAAACTATGAACAAATTCCTATGCACACAGCGGCGGCAAAAACACCCGGCGGGCCAGATAAATGTTTTTGGCGGGCTGTAGTTTGAGGACCCCTGGCCTAAGGGCACAGGTCTTCACCTGACCTTTTATTTGATTACTAAAGGCACAGTGCATGAAATTCGTGCGGGGGGAGGGGGGAGGCAAGGTCCGAATCGATGGGTGCTGTTTTGAAAGGATGTGTGGGCCCC